TTTCATTGTATCTAGATTGTGAATAATAGCAAACCTTTTCCTATACTTAGGGTATAGAGAAATGACCTATATTTTCTCCTAGCTGTTGTATAGTTTCATATTTTATATTTTTATTTCTGATACATTTGGGGTTTATTCTTGTGAATGATATGTGAGATATGTGTCTTATTTTATCTTTTCCATGTGGCTAACAATTTGTCCTAGTACCCTTTAGTCCATCTTTGTCCCAGGGGTTTGAGATTTCACCTTTATCATAAACTAAATTTCCATGAGCATTTGGATCTATTTTTGGACTTTCTTTTCTATTCTACTGTTCTTACAGCATTTGAACAGTATTTATGTTCATGTCTTTAGGAGGGTCTAAATAGTGATTATTTGTATTTTTAGAGACATTGATTTAAATGCTCAATTGAAAAATTAGGTGTAAGACTACAGTTCTTAATCTATTTTTACTGTTCAGTTCCCACCACTCTCACCTCCCATTCTTAAAATACACAGTCAGATCGTGCAGCTCAGGAAGTAGGAGAGGTCCTGCGGGTCATGCAGATCCAGTAATGGCCTTAAGAAAATTTAAACAAGCAAAATAAGAGCTACTTTTATCTCAAAGGTCAGATTGTGCGTGGGGGGTGGTATGTCTACAATTACATGTGTGATCCTTTCTGTTCAATATGGGGACAATTTTCAGAAGTGGAACCATCCTTTAAAAAAGTGTGTGGTGCCTCTTTTAAGTTTAAAGCTATTAGATTATTTATCTTTTTCCCTTACATACAACCTTTTTTCCCCTTACACACGTAAAAATTTATGTCTTGTGTTTGTCTTTTAGGTTTGCTGTAATGGCACAAGAGTATTTGTGCAAAAAGAAATTCTTGATAAATTTACAGAGGAAGTGGTGAAACAGACCCAAAAAATAAAAATTGGAGATCCTCTTCTGGAAGATACAAGAATGGGTCCACTCATCAACCGACCACACCTGGAGCGAGTTCTTGGGTTTGTGAAAATGGCAAAGGAGCAGGTAAGAAATAAGTATTGGTGGAGTGGGATTAGGGGAAGGTTCATTACTCCTAAATTACTTGCTGTGTGCCTGCTTCATATGTTAACATTCATCTGAGGATTGGTGTCCCTGGCAATGCTCTGCTTTGTACCTTTTGTACTTGCAGTGGGGAGACTAAGTATGCATTTGTTCAGGAGTCACTTAACATTTCAGGAATGTTATTGGGGTTGTATGTTTAATACAAAATATGTGATTTTTTTTTTTTTCTTTTTGGCAGGGTGCTAAAGTGTTATGTGGTGGAGATAGCTATGTGCCTGATGATCCCAAATTAAAGGATGGATATTACATGCGACCTTGTGTATTAAGTATGTCCTCCTCTTCTTTGCTTTTAAGTGACTTGAATTAAATATTGAAAGGATAAATGAATATTTATAAAATATGTATATGATGTAAAGCAAGGGTTGGCAAACTATGTGATCTTACTACCCAGGTTTAAGAAGTAGAAGTACTCTGTTACCTTCGAAGCCTTTTCTGTGCCCCCTCCTCTAGGGCAACCATATGTGTATTAGTTTACCTGGGACAACACCTATTGTTCTAGAAGTAAGGAACTGAAAAAAATGAA